ACCTAAACCTGAATGTCAACATGCATGCAAGAGGAAAAGCCCTAGCCAGCAGGCAGGGTTGAACCAGGACCTTGTTACTGACTGTGACCGATTATACATTATAAGTTTGAATAGGTTCTCACATTTAGGGAGTCCTGTGTGATTTGTCTTGTTTACTAATTTTCCGGTCCTCAATAGGGGTGTAAAAAAATATAAACAAATATAATATCCTGATATTTTATTTCGGGAAAGCCACGACTTCTAGATAGCAGTGTTGTAAATTTAAACTGAGAACTATGATACTAGATGTTACACAGACTGTGTAACATACAAATGCAGATTCCACTGTTCTGGCACAGGTTTTACTAATAATGGCTAATGGCTTTGTTTAATTAGCTATGAAAATATAACTTGGAGACATTTGTTTGTGCACATTATACAGTAAAACCCATCTTAAGTCCTCTGTGCACGTCAAAAATTGTTCTCAGTTTTGGTGTTTACAAACAGCTCATACCTCGACAGTTATGATCTGTTTTGTATATACACAAAACAGCTGCCACCAGACACAGGCATGGCCATTGAAACACCAAAAAACCAAGGGAAGCTAACCTGAGCATGCTCAGTGGAGACACTGTTACAAAATGGCTTTCGAAGAAAATGTCTCTATTATATGATACGATACGATATTTGCACCATAAATGTGTTGTTCTGAAGATGTTGATTTCTTATTCTTGTGCAGCATGGTTTTATTCAGTCAGCCTGCACTGAGAAAATCCACTGTCTACTCTCATATCTGTAGCAGCAGCAGCAGCCAGGCATGCAAACACCATTCAAATCTAACCTTGTCAAAGTCCTCTTTCAAGCCCATGCAAATCACCAGGACCACAGGTGCAAAGAACAGTTGAGAAATATAATTTTAAGCCTCTTCCATGGAAAACCAGAGCATCCTCATGCACAGGTGTGATGCCAGAGCGCATATTGAGACAGCAAATGCCAGAAAATTAAAGTAGTTTTAAACTGCATCCATTCATTCTGTGTTTATCTCAGTGTCAGTTCTCACCTTCTTGAACGCCCTCCTCTTCGAGCTAGCATCCTCTCCTTCGCTGAAGACATCATCGCTCTCTGCTGAGGAGAGGTTGATGGAGGAGCAGGAGGAGGTGGAGGAGGACGATTTCATAAGCTTGGAGAGGATTGGATGTGGGGAGGACCACTGATGTGTTGTGGAGCCCGCTGTCATTCCTGGCAGCTCCCCAGACCCGTCATCCTCTAGGGTCACCCCACTCCCCTCGTTCTCTCCCTCTACTGCTGAAACAGGAGAGCTCTTTCGCTCTTCATCCTCGTCTTCTTTTCTCTCTATCTCAAAACTCGAGTTTCTACCTCTCCAGTGTTTCCACTCACTGTTTGAGCCCCCTTCCCTTTCCTCATCAGCATGCTCCCTCTGTCTTACAGTCTCTTCTACCCTTCTTTTTCCACTCCACCTTGCACTGTCCCATCCATCTGGATAAACTTCATAGCTGCCCCATAACCTCTCCCTCCTCTTCGTCTTCCATTTTGCCTTCACCTCATTCCTTGCATGTCTTGTCTTCAACTCGAAGGCCTCTTTTCTGTCTTGGCCGGAAACTCCCTCACTCCCATCTTCCCTCATCATGTCATCATGTCCGAGAGAGGATTGGTGAGTGATGCTCAACTCTGAATTGAGCTCTTTGTCCTGCTCTCCGTCTTCTCCAAGTCCACCTATGCACTGACTGTATGGGGGGAAACTTTTTGTGGACTGGAGTTTTGGTCTGGATCTCACTCTGACCCTCCTGCAGCTGCTGGAAGGGTTGTCACTGATCGTCAGATGTTGGTGGGTCTCATCTGATAGTCCGGCAGAAAAGTCATTATCCATAGTTTGCTTGTTCTCTGTCTCAGTCTGAATTCCCTCCATGGGGTTATCATCTGTCATGTCCATTTTTGAGTCCAGTGTGGAGCGTATCGGCAGCATGGGCCCAACATGTGCTTGTACAAAACAGGGAAATGTTTACAAGATATTTTGAATATGTTTGAGGAAATGAATTTACAAGTCCAAATGCCACTCTAACACATACTCAGCAGTATTTTGAAGCACAAATAGAAAAATAAAAACTACAAATTATCATATGTGTCTTACCTTGCCTTACCTTACCTGTGCCTTCCACCTGTTCTGTCTGTTTCTGTGATAGAAAGCTCTGTGCCTATCGGTAAGCTACATCACTCTCTCATTCTCTCTGCTGGTGCCATATTTTGCATGCAGTGACGTTATTGCAGTAAGTTTCCAAAGCTTCATCCAGCCAACTGTGCCGTGGGCCAACAGGAGATCCAGGAATGACAGATGAGACTGTCAGATAGCAGGGTGGAAATAGAGTAAGGTGTCCTCCTACCAAATATGAGTATGCTTTGTGCATTAACTGTTTTAGGGCAGTTTTTCCTGACAACACAAAAATGTAACCAAATAGTCTGATGAACAAATTTTTAGCAGGTTTTATTGCAACAGTTAAACAGAATGTCTTTTAGAATGAATTGACAAGTAATGTACATTTTAAAGATATTTTTATATAGTGAAAAAGATGCAAATGCTTTAATCACAATTTTATAATTGCTCAAGTAACAAAATAACATTTCCGCCAGCGTGATGGTTATAACTTGCATTAAAAGAAACAGCTCCATAATCTAACATTTAGCTGAAACAGGTAAATAGGAACTTCAGCCAGTCAGTGTTTAGTATTTTGATATATTTTTGTGCATGCACTTACCCCAAGCGTATGGAGACCCAATGTTCAATATTAGATACATAAATATGAAATAAATATTTTAATGAATAAGCATATATATATATGAAAATATGAAATTATTAAATCAATTTTCATTACACTCACTGTTGTACTGTTGGTCATTTTTATTTTTTTATTTCCTTCACAGTACCAATTTTACTTGTGAGTGTTCATTTCATAATACCACTTTTCATCACAAAGTCTATGTCTGTTAATCAAGACAAGACTGATACAGATTGGCTAAGCACTCATTATACGAGTCACATCGGTGGCTCTGCCCCATTTGTCTTGACTGAGAGACAAAGGAGTGTCATTATGAAAGAAAATTAACTTTAAGGGGGAAAATTGCATTGTGAAATAAAAACAGAACTCAGATGAAAGAACTTCTGAAATAAAAAAAACAATGGAATTAAATAAAATGACCTGCAAAAAACTATGGTACTGTGAAAAGAAGCAGGATGAAATGACAATTTACAATATTCTCTTGAGTTTAAAAAATTCAAGGTTACATTACATATTTGGTCTCTGTTCATATTCACATGCTTATTTATTTAATAATGTCTAATAAAGGTAATAAATGGGCACTGATAATGACAGATTTGTAGTTAGTTCCCTAAATCACAGGGTCCTAATATTAAAGCTGAAGCACCAGTGACAGGCAGCTCAAACAGAGCAGCTCAGGTCATCCCCCAGCATATTTGTCAGTGCCATATCAATGCTTTCTTTCATTCTCAGCCATATATTTCTCTTAAATCTTCATCCTTGCATCTTGCTATCAAGATGGCTCTCCACAGTTCCCCCTTCTCCATTATTAATAGCCTCAGGCTGCCCCTGATTCATTTACTTCAATCTGACCATGTATCTCTCTGTTGTGCACCTCTGTGCCATAGCCAAAGTGCAAATGGGGCTTCTCCTGACTCAGATTTGTGGGGGTTATCTGGAGGGGACCCAGCAGCTCTGCAGCACCTGTCAAGGAATTTATTCTTGTAGTCAGTACAAAGTGACTGATGTAAACAACTTGAATAATGTTAAAATTCTCTGCGCCTGTGTTTTTGTACCTGCAACAGCATCCTTTTCATCCTCTTGCTGGTTGTTGCTCATGTTCATTTCCCTATCTGACAGCAATCCATCTGTTCTGAGCTGTAAACAACAAGGAAAACAAGCACATAGAGCCTGGTGAGTTTGAGGTATAACTCCTGAGAGGTGTCTGGTAATAATTCACACTCACTTAAACACAAACTCAAGCCTGAAGCTAAAGACAAGTCAAATATTGTCTGCAGTAATGGGCCTCTCCTCTCACCTGCGTTGGAGCCCATTCCACGCTCAACAGCAGCCTCATGTAGCTGAGGAGGAAGAGGAGACTGAGGAAGATGAAGTTACTGGACACACCCACCAGGGCAGATAGGAGAGGGAAGTTGAACAACAAGTATCTGACAAAAGGAAATCAAAGGAAAGGCGTTATAGCATGACAGTAAATGTGATGTGATGAGGTGTTAGAAAAGGATGTTATCCCACTTTCTCTCAGTTTGACTCCAACTTCTATGCCAGTAGGTGTTTTTCATTCATTTCCTTCAGCAACCCATAGAGAAAACATCTGAACATGTTGTATTTCACGCCACTGTGGGCTGTAAGTGTAGGTGGAGACAAAAGAGAATGAGTTTTTCCAGTGAAGAAAATGTGAGTTGCTTTTTTCCATCTAAACTGTCTATTGTTAAAGCCGTTGAATTCTGATCTAATGAGGCTGCTGTTGTTGGATAAATGTGTGTGTCTACGATAGATTTTCTGTGTGTCATTGTTGAGTGTTGTTGAAATTAATGAAGCCCTTACTTTTTCAAAAAGGACTGTCTATTGTTTAATGAGATAATCTATTCAGCAAACTATATATTGCAGCCTCACTTTCTTCTCTGTAATGTTTCATCATCAGATAAACTGCATGTTACTGTCAGCTCTCCCATGAAGCATGGGGTACACATCTTACCTAATGCCAGTGAAATGTGCATAAATGTAAAGATGAGACGAGTAGATCTGCACTTTGTTGGACAGGATCTCAATGACGGCCGTAACCGAGGGGATATACTGTACATAAATAAAAAACCTGTTAGGTAGACTTCAATAGAACAATGGCTTTCTATTGAAGCACACTCACACATTCACATTCACAAAGCAGTGCAGGACTCACAGGGTCGTCTGTGTAGTCTGAGAAGAGCTCCACCTCCAGCATTTGTTTCTGCTCAGCGGCTCCACTCAGAAAGGCTGGGAGGAAGAGCAGCGTTCCCAGGTGCCTCAGCAGGTCTGAACGGTATCGCAGCATGCTCTGACCACAGCAAGAAAACACAAGTCACCCTGACATTTAAACCATCACAGGTCACAGTCTCCTGGGGATTCATGAATCTGATCTTTTCTTACAAATGTATGATGCCACATCCCCAAGAGATGTTGTGGTTGAGGTTGTCTGCTCAGTTTAACAAAGGCTCATCTCAGCTGATTCCTTCCATGACCCAAAAAATACAAACCCTTGTCCAATGTTATTAAGTGCAATACAATACTTCTGAAATTTCAGTTGTTGTTTAAAGTCAACTTTTTTGACTGTGCTCTATGGTGAGTTTTAGGATTTCACTTAAAGGTTCTAGTTTGTGAGGTGGATTAGTATATGGGGGTGTATGAATATTCAAATATCAACTGCAGTCCAATACAAAAACATCACAAAGTGCCAGAATAGTGCCAGGATGCAAAAAAAGTATTTATTAGAGGGCTGTTGCACATGTTTGCATTGCCAGATCACTTAGTGTTTAATAAAGTAATTTAAGTCCCCCTTATATTTCTAAATTCACTGTATTTGTATCAGTCATTAGTTCACATGTTTGTCCTGTCATCTCAGTCACCTGAGCACTGAGATCACCTTCTGTTGCACTGGAGCTCCGCAGCAAGCATAAGCAGCCCTAATCTGGCTCTGATCAGGCTTAGTGATTAAAAGGTTATTGTGCGTCAGAGCTGTACTCACAAAGCGAGAGCTGGTGGCGGACAGCAGTTGTCTTGTCTGAGAAACACACAGCAATGCAACAGTGAATCAGTGGAGTTTGCAGCAACTAGTAATGAAGCACTATTTGATAGTATGTACACATTAGGCCACAAAGAAGCTGAACAAATGTTAGTGCAACTTACAGAGCGAGCAGAGGAGGCAACTTGGCCTCCATCCCGAGAGAAACAGACTGTCTTGATCATGAACATGCCCAGCTCCCGATTGGACGGAGAATCAGGCATCTCCAGCTGTAGGGAGATCCGATAGGCCTGGCCGAATGTCAGCACCTGCGTTGGCGTCATAGAAAGTTTACAGATTATTTAATACTCAGACAGAGATCGATGCATACACAGGTTCATACATACGTGCTTCTTGTTCTTCATCAGAGAGACGTTGGCGACTGGATAAGAGCACAGAAAAGAGGCAGGAGATTCACAGTCTGTCCTACAGACAAAAACAGGAATGAGTGCAAGAAAGAGGGAGTCAAACACACACTAACTGTAGCCTGTGTTTTCCTGATGCAGCTGGACTTTACATATTCACCTGTAGTGATAGTGCACAGGTGTGGAAAATGCTGCCGTGGGCATGTAGGAGTAATAGAAGCTCCCATATAAAAAGGCAGCAATCCAGAGGAGCAGGAAGACCATAGAGAACACAACAATGGTCTGTATGACCGTCTGACGGGCACGTGACATCGCCATGACAACAGCATCCCGGAGCCTCAGCAACGCCCGACCAATGAGGACAGATGGTTCTCTGTCATCTCCTGGACGCAAATAACTTTCTTGATTCATAATACCAGGAACAGCTGCAAAACCACAGACAAAAAAATAACCCAGAAAGGTAAATTCAACCACATATAATATATAAGTAATAAAAGGGATCATAACTTCAATGTCATCCAAACAGTTATCTGGTTCTTGTGAAAAACAAGACAGAAATATAGATCAAACATTGTCTGTTTACAGAACTCAGCATGGTTGATTGGGTGATCATGATCTCATGAAGCCGTGGACACAAACACCACTTTGAAACTACTGAGAGCCACGAAACCACTGAGTCCAATGTGAGTCACAAGCAGAGGCCTTTTTATATCAGATGACTCTAAACTGTGTGAACTGACACTCTGATTGTATTACATGTATCGAGAAGCACAGAACTACCAAATGAATGTCAGTTTGTTTTGACACAATATGTATTGTGTAATAATGTTGGTGGATTAATGGTGTTTATCACTTTTCTCCATTCCATTAACTTAAGATATGAATCATTAAAAGAGGAAGGGCGTTATCACTTGCTCAACCCATAAATGAACACTGGCTTGTAGATTTCCAGATCAAGAGTTATGCTGGTAAGGATTATACTGTTGGCAAACTAAAGCATTTCTAACTCAGCATCAAAATCTAAATGTCAAGAAAACAGTTTAATTAAAATGTCCATGTAGTATCTAACAGCAACATGTCTGCACTCTGTCTGTCTATAAAAAAAACTCACCTCTGGCCAAGTATGAGCTGTTAGGAAATCACTTCTCCTTCCCTCGAAGTCTCTTGCTCGCTTGACACTGTCTTGATGAAATGTTGTGAACAGAAAACCCCTACAATAACTTATCCTTAGCTCCTAAAAAGCTGCCATTGGACAGGGTTTAGCCCATCCCATCTGAAGAGAGATGCTGCTGCCAACTGGAACAGAGTTCTCAGTGTTGAACATGACACT